TGGGTAAACAGAGCAGGGGCCAACCCTGCAGTCTCGCAGGGGGCAAAGGCTGAACGGAGCACTCCATGTTTATTTTCATTCTATACCAGATGCAGTAAAACGTCATTAGCTTCCCCTGTGCCAATTTGAAACGTGAGATCATTTGGACAGGAACTGGGCAGAAGGCAACCTTTGCTTGCTGCAGGGAGAGTTTGCCAAACAAATGAATAGTTTAAACAGGATCCTAAGCGGGTTGTTGGAAACCACTTCAGAAAATGTACAAGGGCTCTTGGGCCTCCCCAAAGCACACTGTCATACAGTGGTCATCTAGTTACATTTTTTGAGGGGGGGATGGCTTACAATTATGCAAATAAATCTACTTAAACGTACAAATAAAATTATTCATATCTCTTCATTAATATAGCTTATGCAAAGAGCACTTTCTTAACCTTGTTTAAAATGTGAGCAATTAAAAATAGATATTTTAGTTGAGATAGGTCCATCCAGCAAGTGGTACTAATTAGGAGGTTTTATTAACCTTTTGTTCTGGAGGAGGGGATCTTTTTACTGACCCCGGATGGCCAAGGCAAGCCAAAGAACTAAAGGGCCATCTGGAAACAGCTGCAGGGACAACAGGGCATAAAGTCCCTTGGTGGCAGTCCCTCTTCCAGGGGCAGCCAGATGGCCCTTCCAGACATGGGAGATGCAGACTTGTTGCTGAGATGGAGGGTAAAAACAGTCCTGTGTAGGTGGCAGCTGGGCCCAGAGGCACTGGCTTCCTTGTCTCTGGAGCAGGGGGAGGCCCCCAGTTGACAGATCCTCCTTGTGTTCCTGAGGCTCTTCCCAAGCCCTCGGGGATCGGGGGTCTTTTCCTAAAAAGTACCTCCGCCCCCCAAACCAAGTGCTGGCAAGAACTTGGTTCTAAGGTAGCTAAGGAATTAAATCCAGGCTGTGCCAGTTACCAGCTCTGTGACCTCAGGCAAGATTTTTCTCCTTTTCGAGCCTCCATGTTTTCATGTCAAATGGGGGCCAATGCGTTCTTTCTACGAAGCTTGCTGTGAAGATTAAATAATGATGATAGCTAATGTTTCACTCTGCAGCCTCACTCTTCCATCCCTCTCCCTTCCACCAGTTGCTCACCTTCTAGTACATTCTTCAGGAGTGTCTCTGAGGCAAGCCAGCACTACCATGTCATGAGGACATGAGGACACTCCTGCAGCACCATGGAGAGATCCAATGGTCAGGAACCGAGGCCTCCTGCCAACAGTCATCTCAGAAGCTGATCCTCTACCCACAGCCAAGCCTTTGGATGGCTGTGGCCCTGGCCAACCCCTTGACTGCAACTTCATGAGAGACCCTGAGCCAGAGCCACCCAACTAAGCCACTTCCAGATTCTTGGCCCCCAGAAACTGTGTGAGATAATAAATATTTGCTCAATTTGGGGTTATTTGTGATGCAGCAGTAAATAACTAATACACTTACCTTTTGGGTTTATTATAAGAATCTAGAGTTAATACATATAAATTGCAACCAAACTTGCTGGGACCAGAGGCTACAGAAAGGACAGGAGGAGAAGCAGAGGAAGATGGGGCAGGGAGCCAGTCCAGGCAGAGCCTCACTCCTGATGTGGAGGAGTCTGAGAGATGGAAATGCAAATGGACAATGGCCAGATCATATATCAAAATAGAACTCTGACCCAAAACCTGCAGCAACAGTCCAGGAAGCCACACAACACCCCCTGTAGCAATTAGCCCCAAATGGCCAGGACTTAATTAATAATTGACAGCTTCCCCAACTTTGTCACTACTTCCAATATCTGACAAACTGGAGAAAGCCAAATATGCTCCCTAACCAATCCCATAGGAACCCCCCGTTCTAGGGAGCCCACCGACAGCTGTCCCGAGCTAACAGCTTCCAATCAGGGCACACCTGAAGCCTCCCCTTTTTTCCAATGTGAAGCTTTCCCACTCCTCTGCCTGCCTTTGAGTCTCTGTCAAATGGAAGTGACAGTGGCTGACTCCCTGGCTATAGCAAGCTCTGAATAAATACCCTTTGCTTTTTCTCATTAGGGTACTCTTTGTTTATTTCCACAAGCCCAAGTTCTCTCTCTCCCTTCCTTCTCCCAGGTCAAAGACAATATCTCCACACTGGCTTCCACCACCCCAGGTATCCAGAGAAACCAGCTGAGGGATGGTGGAAGAGAGGGGGACAGGAATAACTAAGAGTGTAGCTTTGGAACAGGACAGATCTGGGCTCAAATTCTGGCTTAGATACTTAACTAGCTGTGTGTTCTTGAGTAAGTCAGTTAAACACCCTGAGCCTCTGTTTCCTCACGTCAAAGGGACAGTCCAGCAGAAACCCAAAGGCGGGTGTGAGAATTCAGTGAGGTAATGGACTGAATGCACTGAGCACATGCTAGGAGTTTAGTACAGGAAAGGTCAGCCATCATATCAGCCTCCTCCCCCTTTGCTGGAGCGGGCAGGCCCTGTACTGCACCCTTCCTCACCCCCAACGCCTTTCTTTGCAACAGGCAGCCTGACTTCAGCTGGATGGAGTCAAGGGCATTGGCTCCAAGTCCACTGTATATCAAAGGTCAGGGTTTGGTCTCAAAGAGAAGAATGGGCAAAGGACATAATCGAGCATTTTTCTAAAGAAACCCAACTGGCCCAAAGCAGAGGACAAAATGTCCAGGCCAGGTACCCGCTTGTCTCCCTGCTCTATGCTGGCTCTGAGTGGTGGTCAGGGAAGGGAGACTCCTGCCCAGAAAACTCTGAGTGCCCTTGTGCCAGGCCAGCTTCCCAGGGCTGAGGAGGAAGAGCCAGGCCGTTTCCCAATCTGGTATATGTGTACACGCAGGTGCCTCAGTTTCTTCATCTTTAAGATGAGAATTTTCTAAAGAAAATAAAAAATAAATAAATAAATAAATAAATAATAAAATAAATAAAATTAAAAAAAAAGATGAGAATTTTCATAGCTTACCAAGACACACACACACACACACAAACACGAATTAGTGTTCTAATAATGAATGTGCATGTGTGAGTGTGTGTGTGGGGAGGTGTTTTAGTCCATTTTGCGCTGCTATAACAGAATATCCGAAACTGGGTAATTATAAACAATAGAAATTTATTTGTCGCAGTTCTGGAGGCTGGGAAGTCCAAGATTGAGGGGCCAGCATCTGGTGAGGGCCGTCTTGCTGTGTACTAACATGGCAGAGGGCATCACCTGGCGGGAAGGAAGCAAGAAGAGAGCAAGAGGGAGCCAAACTTGTTCTTTTATAAGGAACCCACTCCTGCAATAAGGGCATTAATCCATTCATGAGGGCGGTGCCCCCATGACCCAAACACCTCCCATTAGGCCCACCTCCCAATACCTCCTCCCACTGGGTATCAAGTTTCCAACACATGAACTTTGGGGGACACATTCAAATCATAGCAGGGGGTAGGGGCTTTGAGGTGCTTGTGTGCTGGAGGCTCCTGCATCCCCTCACTCCAACTTGCTAGGCCTTTTCCATCTTCTCGTCTTCCCTGCCACCACTGGGCTTCAAGTCTCCAGCCAGCATCTTTTACCTGTACTATTGCAAAGACTGAGTGCTTTCCTTACTCTCCCACAACGATCAAAGAATGAAAATTAACACAAGGATGAAAACATCCCCCCACTCCCTTAAACTCAGGCAAAGACTTTTAAAATAAAGACAATAACGAGGATGGAGGGGGGAGGGGCTTCTTCCCCACAGGGCAAAAGTGTAAACTGGTACAACTGGAGGACAATTTGGTAGGATGTACCTTTTGATTCTACAGGTCTATTTTTCAAAATATAATCTAAATAAAAATTAGTTTCTGCACAAAGACTTCGTTACATGCCTCTTTATGGTAACATTGTTTCTAATGCAAAATAAATAAATAAATAAATAAATAAATAAATAAATAAATAAAGGAAGGAAGGAAGGAAGCAATGCCGATATTCAAAACCAGGAAACTTGACTAAATAAATTGCAGTGGTCTGTATCTCCTTGAAACATCCTTGCTTCCCTAAAAATAATACTGTAGATCAGTAGTCCGAGCATCACCTGGCAACTGTTAGAAATGCGCATTCTGGGGCCCTGCCCTGCACCTACTGCTTCAGAAACTCTGGGTGCAGCCCAGCAATCTGGGTTTCAACAAACCCTGCAGGCATTTCAGAGCCACTATTGTAGATGACCGTCACAGCGGAAAGATACACTGTTAAATGACAAGAGGTTACAAAACAGCACGTGCAGGACAGCGTGCGTGAACAGTGCATGCCCATTTCAAATACATTTGTAGAGAGAGAGACCTACAAATAGGCAAAGGCCAGGAAGAGTTTGTACCCAGGTGATAACATCGACCCTCTCTGGGTATGAGGTTTTTAGATTTTTTTCATTTTGCTAATCCATATTTCCTAACTGGCCTACGATGATTATGTTTGTGTAAAAAGGAAAGGGTAAAAGCCCCAATAACCTATTTTTTTTTTAAATAAAAAAGTTTAATGGGGTGGGTGGAGAAGATGTGGGGAAGAAGGCAGAGAGTATTCTTCACTGCAACAGCCTTCAGCCCGGGAAAAGCAGGACCGCCCGGGGGGACCAAGAGCCATGGCGCAGTGCAGCGGGCCACGCTGGGGGTCACAGCTACTCATACCTAGGAAGGCTTACCAGGGCTTAAATAAGGAGCGGAGAGGAGATTTAGGGCAGGCTTCCGGGAGGCCTTGACTGCTAACAACACTAAATCCTGGAATGGCCACCTTGGGGAGATTTTCTGACCCTGAACACGCAGCAGCTGACCAGAGGGGGGTCGGCCTTGGCAGGCTGCGGGGGCCTGCAGAGGCTGCGCTCTCGGCGGGATTCTCGCCCCCGGACACCACGGGGACCGGGGGGCGGGGCCGGGCCGTTGCTAGGGGAGGGGCGGCTGGGCGGGCGAGGGACTCAGCCGGGGACCGCCACGCGCGCTGAGCTCTCCCGCACCAGCTCCTGCGCAGCCTGTTGCTCATTCCTCCGGGCAGCCGCTTCCCGCCAGGTGCCCAGGGGTAGGCGGCCCGAGAGGGCGCCAGGGCGCGGGCAGCCTCCGCCTCCCTCCGCTCCCCAGGCACCAGTCCATCCCACAGTCCGGAGCGCCCCCGAGAGCGCGGACGCCGGCGAGCCTCCCTGTGCGCCCCGGACCGCGCACCAAGACCCCCGGCGCCGAGATGAACACGACCTTCCTGGACCACAGCGGCTTGGAGGAGGCGGGTGGCGTGGGGAACCGCAGCCACGGGCTGGACACGTGGCTGGGCTGCTGCCCGGGGGGCGCACCGCTGGCGGCCAGCGACGGGGTCCCCGCGGGGCTGGCGCCCGACGAACGCAGCCTGTGGGTGTCGCGCGTGGCGCAGATCGCAGTGCTCTGCGTGCTGTCGCTCACCGTGGTCTTCGGCGTTTTCTTCCTGGGCTGCAACCTGCTCATCAAGTCGGAGAGCATGATCGACTTTCTGGTGCAGGAGCGCCGGCCTTCCAGGGACGTGGGCGCCGCCCTGCTGGGGCTCTACTGAGCGCCGCCGGCCGCCCTCGCCAGCGCTGCTGCAAGAAGGAGAAGGCGGACCAGGACCCTCGTCACCCTCTCTGGGCTCTGCCACTGCCTCCGGGCGGGCAGCGCGAGGGCCAGCGACGTGCCTCGGGGGCGCTCGGGTCCGGGGACACCGCGGGACTCCCTACGGCGGCGCGGGAAGGGACTTGCACGCCCGCTCGGTGCTGTGTGCGCTTCAGCGTTGGGGGCTGGGAGAGGGGACGAGAGTTCTTAACGGTTTTTCAAAAAAAAGAAGTTCGGGGCAGGCTGGAAGTGGCTGTGGGAAGCAGTTTGGGGCTAGGGTCGCTCGCGTGGGAGCTTTGTGTGTTTGTTGGTGGGGGCGGGCTACGGGCAGGGTGGGGAGACTGGCTGAAGAACCCGAGTCGCGGAGCTTGTGAGCCTGATCTTGCATTTGAAAAGAAATCTTGTAATAAAACTGCAGCCGTCGGGATTCCTGCGGCTTCCAGCGCTCTGTGTGTGCGCGTGCGTGTGTGAGTGTGTGTGTGTGTGTGTGCGCGCGTGTGTGTGTGTGTGAGTCTGTGAGTGAGTGAGCATGTGTGTGTGTGTGTGTGAGTCTGTGTGTGTGTGAGTCTGTGTGCATGTGTGAGTCTGTGTGTGTGAGTGTGTGTGTGTGTGTCTGTGAGTGAGCATGTGTGTGTGCATGTGCGTGTGTGTGTGTGAGTCTGTGTGCGTGTGTGTGTGTGAGTGAGTGTGAGTGCGTGTTTGAGCATGTGAGTGTGTGTGTGTGAGTGTGTGCGCGTGCGGCGGCGGAGGGAGAGGTGGCATGTACCCTAGTGGCGGGCACTTTGGGCCTGCGTGTGTCGCCTGGCTGGGGAGCTGTCCGGCAGGGCCGGGCTCCTGGGGCTCCACGCTGAGGCCGGAGCCAGGAAAGGGAAAAGGCACCGTTTTCTACGCTGACAGCGGAGGACGCAGGTCCTGCCGGGCGGACAGACAGCTGGTGAGATTAATTAAAACAATGGAAATCTGAGTCTCTTCCATGAGATGGAAACAAAAACAAAAACAGTGAGTTGAGTCCAAAGGGGGAAAACAGTACAATTAATAGTTCGGGATAGCGAACAAATAAAATTCAGTTGGGGCGGGGGGAGGGAAAGGGAGACTAGAGCCAGTGCAAATGTAATTATAGGGCCCAAAGCCCCATCTAAGGGCTCGTTTTGACCCCGCCCTTACAGAGGGCAGGAGAGTAGACCCCGAAGAATCCCCCTTTGTTCATCCTGGAGAGGGAGGGGCTTTTTGGTGAAGGGGACCTGGGATGTTTAAAATGGAGACAACGGCCTCCAAATGCAGTTGTCTTGGGGGCCTTTCACTATGAGACGCCCCAGTTGCCCAGACCCGGCGCCCCCGTGGGTGCTACCTTTCCCTACAGCAGTGTTTAGCAGTGAGGACATCGGCACTCACTGGCCAAGGGGAGGGGGCTGGTCTGGCGGAGAACTAAAACGGGGGCTCTGGGGAGAGACTGAGCTTTGTTGTCTTGCATTCCCCCCTCACTCTAGCGCCAAGCCCACTCAGGCACCCAGCAGTTGGAAGTTTTCGGGGATAAGACCTAATGGATTTCTGCCTCTTCTCTCTTTCACCATGGGTGGAAGGGAAGGACGATAAGGAAGCAGTCTGAAGCCTTAACTGGCTTTGGCAAGAGAAGTGCAGGGAACACCATCTCATGTCTCTTGTACTGGTTCCATAAGGAAGAGGGTGATAGGGGGAGTATCTCAACAAAAGCACAGATGGTCACTGACTATGCAGGATCCAGAATCTTCCTGCCTCCTGAGCTCTCCTGTGTAGTCAGAATCATCACTATCAGGATGGATCTGCCCCACCCCCCACCCCCCACGCCTGCTGCCCCAGTTTCAGACCTGGGGGGATTCATGGAGTTGGACAGCACAGTCCATTCAGGCCAGGGGTCAGAGAGTCCTTGTAGAGTGTCCATGGGGCAGACACCCAACATGGAGAATGTTCTGTTGATACTTTGGTGGGACTTACAGGTAGCCCAGCCTGATCTGGGGAGAGTAGCCTGGATAGCTGGCTTCAAGCAGCACAGGTGTCTGGAGCCTGGGCCAGACCGGTGGCCTGGAGAATTCTGCTCAGACAGCTGAAGGCATTCATGTAAACCTCAAATGACCGGAAAATGGGGATTTCAGGAGGAATGCGGGCTTAAACACTTTTCTGCCTGGCCAAGATAGAATGAACAATACAAGGACTTTGCTCTAATAAAATGGGTCTGCTCCTAACTGTGACTGGGGCAAGAGGAGGGTGACTCAAGAGTTAAATTTCCTGAATTTGCTGAAAAAGGAAAGCCTTAGTGGAGAAGCTTTGTAGGATTTTCTCTGTCAAAAAAAATTTTAAAAAAGGACAGGGAAGACATGTCTGTATACTGACATGCGCGTTTGGGCCCCCAGACCCTGACTCATACACTCACGTGTACATGTGCACATGTGCATAAATGTATGTTCAGGCGAGCAGGCACACGCAAAGGCAAGAGGATCCAGCCTCAAGGACAACAGCAACTGTGATGGGGTCCTGGGAAGGGGTGCAGAGCGAGAGATCATATTTGTGGCCCATCTTGGTTCTCCCCGAAGCCTAAGGCAGTGTGTTTACTGAGCTGCTTTATATAAACCTTGGGTGGGGGTGGGAATTCTGAGTTACATAAGAGCGAATGAGGCACAGTGCTCCAGGGGAAGGGTGAGACTGGATCAGAATCCTGAGCCTTGGGCATCTGGGTCGAGGGTGGAGAAGGGACCTGGTTCTTGAAAGCCCTCCCCCACCCCCAACCCTTGGGCAGAAAGAGCTCTTCCTCTGAGGCCTGCCCTGGATGCAGAGGCCAAATCTCAGAGGCTCCTGGATTCAGAAGAGCAAAGCCTGGGATCCTGGCTGCCCTGCTTCCTAGCTCTGTGACTTTGGGGAAATGGCTTGACCTCTCTGTGCCTGTTTCCTCTTCTATAAAATAGGAGCAATGGGACCCATAGCTCCCGAGACATGACATGTGTGAAGTATAGCCAGCAGCGTGCCTGGCATTTTTGTTGTTGTTTTTTCTTTCAGTTTTTTAATTTTATTTTTTGTCTTTATTTTTTTCAATTTTAGTGCCTGGCATTTAATAAATACTCAGTAAAGACAATTATTATGATTATTGCTAGTTTTGTTTATTGTATGAACTCTTTCCCAGAACCAAAACATATTTAGTTCTCTGACATGAGATCCCTGGAGAGAAAAATAGTAATTCCTATTTGCAAAGCATTTGGTAGTTTTCAAAGCTCTTTCATAAGCAGGATGAAAATAAATATCAAATGCCTAATGTGCCAAGCACTGAGCTCCCACCCTCGTGAGGAAGGGTTTATTGCTACTCCCATTTTGTAGATGAGGAAACTGAGGCTCAAAGAGGTTGCCTGGGTCTCGCAGCTAGGAAGGGGCAGAGCTAGTCCTGCCGGCGTGACTCAGGTCTTCACTCTACATGATCTCCTTTGCTCCCCACCACACCTTGGTGAGTAAGAGGAGCAGATATTCCCTTAGTTTCCTGTTTAGAGGAGAGGAGATTAAGGTTCAGCTTAATTCCCAAGTTCATGCATTTGACCAGTGTCTACTGGGAACCTACTGGGGGCCAAGCACCGGCATTGCAGATAAGCAGGGGCATGGCAGAGCTAGAGTCCAGCTCCAGCCTGCAGCCCCCGTGGCCCAGGAACACGCTTTGCTCCTCAGAGCCACTAGTCCTGGGGTGCGGGTGGCTGGTTCCATGTATCTCAGGGGCTAGATCAAACCTTCCACATCCCGTCTTCAGAGTAAGGGATGGTTCTTCTGGGGCCAGGTATGCCCTGACCAGCAAGATATCCCCCAGAATGGGGGGACAGTAGAGGGCACCCACCTACTTTCCTGCTTGCTTGTCTGAGCTAAATTCACAGAGAGGTGATTGGCCATGGCTGCTGAGAGTTGTCCTCCCCAGATCCCTCAGCAGCAGACCAAGAGCAGCCTTGAGCATTAGGAGCAGTTTCAGAGGGAAAGAATGAAGCATGAGAAGTGGGTGCAGACAAAAGTGGTCTACCGCCAGTATTCCAATTTGCGGAAAAAGGTATACGTGTGCATGCACGCATGTATGCACATAGTTAAAAGGACTCTCATGGGATTTCTGAGTAGCATCCCTTGAACGCAGCTCATGATCCTCTCTTATCAGTTAAGATCACACCAGGCACATGGGGTGTCCAGAATGTTGAACCCCAGCTGGGCAGGCAGGGCAGGTGTCCAGGTCTCTGAGATGGCAGCTGGGGGGAGTGTCCGGGGGCAGCACCCACTTACCCTTGCAGCAATAGCTGTATTTCCTACACTTGGGATTCTGTGATAGGTACAATCTAGTCCATGGATAGGGAACACTAGATTTCAACAATATTCAACAACAACAAAAGCAACAGAGTTAGGGCCGGCCCGGTGGCGCACTGGAGAAGTGCGCCAGTTGGGAGTGCGGTGGCGCTCCCGCCGAGGGTTCGGATCCCATGTGGAGACCGGTTCCCGCTCACTGGCTGAGCGCGGTGCGGGCACAACACCGGGGGTTGCGATCCCATTACCAGTCAGTGAAAAAGACAAAAAGGAAAAAAAAAAAAAAGCAACAGAGTTAGCACCCACTCTCATAAGATTGTCATCTGGTTGTGTGGTTAGGTAATGGGCTCAAGGTCGCACCCTCGGCCAATGGGTGGCAGAGGTGACAAGCAAACCCAGTTCTCACTAATGCACCAGCCAGTGCCAATATTTATTAGGCATGTCCTATGTGACTCTCCTGGTGCTGGGTGCAGAAGAGGTTGCTAAGATGAAGGCAACTCAGTCTCCACCCTCAGGATGTTAATAACATCATTACATAGGGGATGTAGTGGTGCCATCTTCTGTGCCTCAACTAGTATTTCTTTTTGGGTAGCTAGCACCAGCCAGTGGGGTATAGGGTTCAGTGAAAACTTGCAGGCCACCAATACACCCGAGTTCCTCCTGGGGCTAGCTTTTCAGGGAATGCCTGGGCAGGAAGCCCAGGATGTGGAAACTGAATGTTGAAAATGATGCTGCCAGATGGGCAGAGGCCAACGCCCATCACTGAGAGGGTTAGGGTTGCATACAGGGCTCCTGATTGCAGTTGGAGTCCTCATATCCCGGATTCTCTCCCACTGTGTCTTTGGGATCTTTTGCAGGAAGTGTTTTCATGCTCTAGGATGGAATCAGATGTGATGGGGGAGATGGGGAAGGGGTAGGGTGGGGAGAAACCAACATTTACTGAATTCCATCTGTAAACCAACATTATTTAATCCTTGCGGCGACCCTGTGTGTTGGGGATTATTTCCCCTTTACAGATGAGAAAATGGAAGCTCAGAGAGGTTAATTACAGCCAGGGAATGGCTAGCCTAGGATGTGATCCCCATGTGTCTGCCTCTGCAGCCTGTCTTTGCTCCACCACACTGCCCATCACTAGGGGG